AGGAATGCGAGTGTCTTCAGAGGATTGTTAACACTTATGGCCAACACTGTAGTTTTACCATAATAGGGTCTTTTTATACTCCCGTATACTTTATACTCCTTGGTAATAAACTTTGTGAATTAACTTTCTAAAGTAATTACTTATACAGTATTTAAAAATGCTGCCTAAATGGCATCTTTGGAGCCTGAAAACATGTAATCAACCTCTTTAAATATAAAGTTTATTATCACTAGCAGAGAATGACTTAAGCGCTCAGAAGAATCTTTGATATGCTTCTTTCAGACTAAATGAAAGCTGACTCAGAGAAGGAGGGCTGGGGGGACAACCCTCTATTGCTGTATTAAAAAAAGAAAAACCTGAATGATAAAATATGAAGTATTCTTGTTGCTGAAATTGTGATTCCCTCCACCCAAATCCATTTTAATACAAATTTCTGACTACTTTTTGTATATAGAATTAAAATGGATTCAACTTTTAAATAAGTTGAAATTTTTACAGATGAATAGGTACAATTATTAATAATACCAGGATACCATGTCAAACAAAAATAGCTATGTAGAAAATCTGACAAACTGGGTCATTTATATCCTTCTAATAGAAAATAATACAATAGTATATAAATACTGTACACTCCGTTAACTCTGGTAAGCATAAATACCGCTAAATTTTTACAACACGAGAGGTTTTTAAAAGGTGCAAATGAAACACAGATCATCTGAATTAACCTCTATATTTTATCATCCAAAATAATTTAACTAATGGGAAATTTTTTCAACCAAAAAAACTGCATGTCAAAGAAAAAGTGAGTAAACAAAGTTTCTGATAATGTCAGAAAGTTCGTGCAATTTTTTTTTTCACTGTGGGCAAAGTATCAATAATAGTGCTCAGGACTTCACTTCCCAAACAAGGAATGGAGTAGAAAACACAAGATGAATTTTAGGACTGTTATCATTATGGGCTCACACAATGTATAGATAGGTATCTCCTCTCAGCAGGGTATGAAAGCAAGCAACTTGGTATTCTTGCCCCCATTATTTACACCAACTAAAATACTGCCTGGTACCCACTGAGTGATTGAAAAATATTTAATGAATAAATGAATAACAAAAGAATAACTCAGATAATGCTAAAAAGTTTTACATTGATAGACTCAGATCCTAGAGGTAATCCTCTCTTTAATTTATAGATGAGGAAACATGTTCTGAAATAAGCGTTCTCTGCGAGGTCAGTTTCTTGTTTTGCTTCTGCTAATTCCAAACCTTTTTAGTTGATTTGGGAGGCTTTAAAATCAACTCCTATCGATACGTAGATAGATTTGAGATTATTCACGATGAAATTTTCATCCTTGGCTGGCTCTACTTTTGTCAATCGGCACATATTGAACTACAACTTCCCACTGCATGAGACAATGGTTACCCCGAGAAGGCCAAGTGAAGTCAAGAAAAGTACAATCTGAGAAGTCAATTTTGTAACAAAATATAATTAACTCTGAAGTCAACGGAAAGTTTCTTTTAGGTTTTTCATTATTTTTGAATTAAAACTGTACTTCAACCTCTCCATTTCTGTAGTAATGGAAAATTACCAGATCAGAACTAGATTTATAAATTGTTTCCTACTTTACTTTTGACTATATGACTTTAAAAATGTCTACTACATACCCGGATTATAGTTTCTAAATACTCTTTCCTACTAAAAGTAATCAGAACTCTTTAGAGAAATGGCTTATCCCCAGCCTGGGCCAGGAAATATATAGGATGAGCCTGGAACACCTTGTCCTACTATAAATCAAAGATTACTAGGGTTGTACCAAAAGGACTCAAAAGTAAACTTGAAGAGGCTTCCAGTAGCCAAGGATGGGACAATCTGAACATCAATAAGAATTACAATGGTAATGGACTGATGCATGAAAAGTCTTTAAATCCACAAATTCATAATGATATTTAAAAACTAACTCATTGGTCACCTCTGAAGGATGCTAGGGAACCGCCTCATAGATTTGGTAACTAGTATATAAATGCAAAGAATCAAACCTTTATCTTGGGTTTCTTGTAAAAACTGTCCTTCAACCTAACAGCTGATGAAGTAGAGGTGTCCCAGCTAATAAATGAAGAAAGAATGTTAAAATAGCAGCAGTTTGCAATCCCTAATGAAATAAAGAATCTAAGCAATGTTCATCAGTGGATGTTAACAGGAGTGGAAGACCCAGACGTTATTATACGCCTCCTGATAAAAGTACTAAGACATATCCTTACTAACCAACCAACAAACAAACCTAAATCTGATATACAGAAATAGAAGAAAAAAGACAACTTGAAGATGCAATCAGCAAATTCTAGACTCTGAAAAACTCTGTAGGATAAATGACCAAATTTCTTCAACAAACAAATTATGTGTAATTGTGTGTGTATATGTGTCGGGGAAAGAGAGAGCGAGAGAAAGAGGGGGGTAGAATAAAAGCCAACAGACTAAGAGATTTAAGAGAACTAATCAATCAATGCAATGTATGGTCCTTATTTGGATCCTGACTCAAAAAGTTGTTTAAAAAATTACAAGACTGAGACATTTGAACACTGTCTGGATTTTTGATGATATATTGACTTTATGTAAGGCTATAAATTTTAAGTACGGCAGTTGTAATATTTACAAGTAAAATGATATGATTGCTAGGATCTGCTTCAAAATAATCCAACGGTGGAGGAAATGTGTGAGGGTACAGATGGGTTCATTTATACTATTCTTTCTATAGATTATCTTGAAATTTTTCAAAAAAACAATTAAAAAATAAAATACAAGTACAAAAAACTAAGAGCCTGCTTTCTTATCCATAATGCAGAGACAATATTTCACTCACACCTTCCTCACAAACATGTTGTAAAGATAAATGAGTTCTTTGAAAGGCGTCTGGGTCTAAAATCTTGTTAATCAGGGATGAAGACAAAATTGTTGATGGCTAAACACAAGCTTTAGACCTTATATGTATTCTAATGACAAAGAAAGCATACCTTCTACAATATATGACAAGGAATGTTTGAAGTATATAAAGCATAACCATAAATTAAACCAGGCATTAGGTCTGATTAGTATTAGTGATATAATTATTTTCAATTTATGTCAATAAAATCAGATGTAAACTCTTAAAGGAAAAGACTGCTTAAAAAATTCTTTTTGCTGTATTTAATAAGGGACAATCTGAATAGGTGATACATGCATTAAGAGGACTAACATAATATGAAGAAAATCCCATATGCTTCATGGTAATTTTACTTGCTAGGGTCCATTATAAATGTAATGGTTAAAAACAATTTCAAGACAATTTAACAAAGG